GACAACGGCCATCTCAGCCATCTTAACCATCCCGACCATACTGGCGGCCAGGTGTTTTCTCCGACTTTATTTGTTGAGCCACCTGATGGTCTCAGCCTCCTCGGTGCTCACTGTCAAGGGAAACCCCTCGAAGAAACTTTCCTCTTTAAAACAGGGGGCAAGCCAAAAGCTCTCACCGCGACAGACTCGTCGCCAACTTCTGACTGGTTATCTGCCTGGCTTCTCTTTCTCGTGATCAGCTCAGTGGGCTGCTCGACGTCATGGGAGCCCGGAGACCTACTAGAAGCATCGCCTGAACTGGTCGGCGGGCCCATCCTCGTGGCCTGCGGGGCTTGCACCAACCTTTTGTTTACTCTTTTATCCTGAGACAGTTTTAAAAACCTCTCCCTTCGTTCGGTCATGTCGCCTGCAAAGAAGAAAACTCGGGTTAGTTACGAGCAAGTAACAAACAATGAAATTGGAATAAAACTATAAGACAAAGGCAACCTAGTAGATCTACGACCTGCACATAGGATTGGTACTCGACGAGCGCCTTGGTATCGATAAGACGGGCTTCGAATGTCGGGTAACCTTCTTCATCAAGAATATCTTCCCCCTCCCTCGTAACCCACCGGGCGGGGAAGAAGCTGTCGACATACCTACAAAGGGTGCCATAGGCTTCCTCATCCTCGGCACTCATTCCTCCCACGGGCGTATGGTAGTACCCGGTACCATGCTCGTAATGGCGTGAGCACCAGTGTAACGGGAACTTGGATACACGCCCCATCACCGGACGGCCCTCGGCGTCCATAAGGAGCTCCCCGTTCTCGTCGACCAGCGCGGTTTCCTCTTCGTATATAGAATCTAAAGCAGTCTGAGTGACCGGCTGCAGAACATACCACTTGTCCTTGAAGCCCCGGACCGAATCCATGTACATCCTGAACAGCCTCTTTGACTGCTTCAGGGAAACCCAGCTATGCCTGCCTCCCCGAGACTGACGCTGCAGGTGAAAAACTTTGAAGAAAAGAGGGATGGTCGCCTCGATCCTCAAAAAGCGACATGTCAGCTCGAACGCCCGAAGGAAGGCGATCGAATTAGGATGAAGCTGCAAGGGGGCCAAGTCCAGATGGCAGAACACCCCGACTTGGAAATCATTGAAAGGGAGCTTGAGGCCGAGATCCCTGAACACGATCTCATACATTGGAAACCCATACTCGGTGAACTCCGAGCAGATTCGTGCATCGAGGGACGGCCTCGTCACAATGAAATTCTTCTGGAAACCCGGTTGACTACTGTCGTGTTCGACGACAGTGTATGCGCGCCGACTACGCCGACAATACACCGAGGCAATCCCTCGAGGCTCGTCGCCCACCCAATCCAACGAGGGATCATCGACGATATCAACTAGAGTCACGTTCTCTTCGGCACCTTGGTCCTCGACCTCATTACGCCTCGAAGACTCCGGTTCGTCAGCCATTTACCTGCAAAGCACAGGAAACCGGTGAAATTCGAGAGCAAATCCGCATGCTCGCCATAGTGACGGGAAGTAGTGCGCGACAAGCCAGACACGCTCGACCAGACGTCGGGAACGACAAGAGGATAACATGAACACCCCATGCGATAAACATTGATGACTCGAACAAGACCCTGGTTTCGCCTCCCCGACGCTAAGACGCTACGACGAGTTGTCCCACATACTTCCTAAGGGGTCAACGTCCCGACCAAGCTCATGGGTGCGCCGACCTAAGCTATGAATGTGACGGGCAATATCATGAATCCTATGCCTAGAACTATGGGTTTACTGGGCAGTATCATGAATCCTACGCATAGAACTATGGGTTTACCGGGAAGCATCATGCGCCTAAAACCATGAAGGCCACAGGCAGCATCGCGAGTCATCTGCCTAAAGCTATGAGTTTACCGGGCACAAACATGAACATACCGGGCACTAATCCCAGATAAGGGTTTCTAACATCCAAATAACGGTAAAACTACCTACAACGAAGAAAAATAGGAGGGATAAACGCTTACTTGGAAGTAAAGAAGAATGTACGGCAGCGGTAAAAGAAATCGACGAAGGAAGGTGCGGTAATCTTGTGAAGTTGTAGAAGAACAGCGGCGACAAAGGCAGAGGAAGAAGGAGAAGCGCGAAGAGGAAAAACAAATTATGGGACCCAAGGATCCTATTTATAGGGATGACGTGGAATACGAAACGTCGCCCCGGGGAACCACAAACTTCCCCTCCTTGGCGTCTACTCCCCTAGGAAATGATGGCCCTACTGTCGCTAGGGTGGCGTCACGGTTCCCACAGACGGCGCCACTGATCTTACCTGATCAGACTTGGACCGTCACGGCTGGCTCAGGCAGAATTTTGAGTGAGATGGGGAGGGGGGTACCTGCAAGACACTCCGATGCTAAAATGAGTGACGGAATGAGCAGGCAAAAAGTGTATGTATGCGTGAGAGATGAATACCTGACCCTCTAGGAACAAAGGGTATTTATAGCGCCCAGCGCGGGGCCAAGATCCCTTCATTGGGCCGACCAGAATTGGCCCAATAAAGGAACTGCCAGGTTCTACGTGTGTAGTGGGGACCCGCACGTGACCCCTTTCCTGGTGATGCTCTGCGAGAAATGAGGAGGGACGAAGACGCGATCTTTTCGGAGTTTAGATGATTTGGTAACGGTCAGAATCTGTCCTACGAGAAGGGTGCTCGAGCTGGGCTCGAGCTGGAGTTCCCGTGATCGGGGACACCATGTGTCGCGGGCAACGACAGGTACGACTGCAGTCTGTGGTCGGACGCGCGTTTCTCGAAGAGCTGCTTGGATTGGGCCTTTGTTCCTGCTTTTGGGCCAGGGCAGACCCAATCCAGAACATAAACGTTTATTGAGAAAAGAGAAAGAAGAAAGAATACATTCAAACAAATTCCCTATTTAAACAAATGCAATTTCATCAATAATTGTAATAGGGTTGGGCTTCTTATTGTTTAAAGAATATACAAAATTGTATTTTTAAAATATATGGCAAACATTAATTAAAATAACAATTACATAAAATTTATGCAAAAGCTCTCTTTTGATTTTTTAACCAATAGGCAAACATTAATTAAAACAACAATTACATTTTTATGCAAAAGACGTCTTTTTGATTTTTTTAACCAATACTCCAAATACTCTTTACTTTTATACTCCAAATATGTTTATTAATATTTTCCTAGAAACAATATTGATTGTTTCCTATTAATTAAAATAGAAGAAAAAAAACATTTTTAAAATAAGCTCAAGATTTCAGAACAAAATCTGTATTTTCACAAAAATAAAAATCTTACACAAAAATTTATGAAACAAAACAGTATCTTAAAATCAAACACTAATCAAAATAATAATTACACAATTTTTTATATAATTAAAAAAAAAACTCTAAAAGTAATTTTTGACATTTAGCTTTATTTTTTAAAAAGTCAAATACTATTCATTAAAAAAAAATATAAAAATAAAGTTATGATTCTCCTGAAAACAAAACCATCTTCTACAATCATAGTTTGAGAATTAAAATCGAACACACACACAAACTTTAAAAAAGGTAAATTTAAATTAATTAAAATAATACTGTAAAAACTATACCATTTATTTGCATTTTTTCTTAAAATAAAAAAACCAAGCGTTCATTACAGGGAAAAGAAAAAGAAAAAGAAATTTTTTTAAAGATAAACTTTAAATTCCACGAACATATCCATTTTTCACAATTCATAATTAGAGAAAAAAATACGTATGTCCTTATAAAATACAAATTTGTTGTTATGTCCATGTTTAACTTTTAAAATCCATTTTATAAAATAAAAAAATAAAAAAATAAAAAAAAAGAATCATATTTTATTTAGAGTTCATTTTCATTTTCATTCTCATTCAACTGTGAGATTGGTCCTCAATATAAATGTGACTGTTGATTGTCTCTGAATTCTCAACCAAAAGGTACCTTCTTTCAACTTCAACCTGAAGCGGTGTATATTAATACTTATTTAAGTTTTTAATATTTTTTTTATAAAATTATTATTTAACTACATTCATTCATCTTTTTATTTTTGGGTAGAAATTCTAAGTACATTGATCATATTACATTAAATTGCAATCTACATTAAATTTAATAATAAATTTTGTTGACGGTTTCTACATGTGTGTTTTGTGTATATATTTATATTATATAGTTGTCGTAGATTAGATCTCTTTACTGTGTTTAATTTTGCATTGCAAATCTTGGGTTGGTTGAAAGTTTTTAACTTTTGCTGTTTTTGTGTTTGAATTAATACTTCTATGAAATGGGTACCCTTCAAATTTATAACTTGTTTGTTTCTCATTGCAGTTATTGTCTTTGGATGCATGAATTTCTGAACCAACCCATTTGACACAGTTACTGATTCCACATTGCTAACGTAAGTACACTTTTTAACTGCTTTGGAGTTACTTGTGTAGAAATTATGTCTTCGGTTTGAGTGGGTTTCATTCTAGTATTATTTGAGATTTTCTTCAAGGAATTACTGTTACTGTTGTTGTAGAAATTTAACTTTTATATTTTGTTATGTGTCAGTTTTATGTATTGGTTCAGAATTGTTGAATGTTTCCAAGATCCTTCAGTTTATGTATGCTTGTCTTTTTGTGCTGTAAATCTGACAAGTTTCAAGGGACATGTTTAGGTTTGTGCCATGTTGATTCACATTCAAATGCCAAATGTTCTATACTTAATGATTGTGTTTTTGTCTTTCAGGGCTTTAATGGAATTTTCGCTTGCATTCCTAGTTATTGTTTTCTTTTTGTAGATAAATAGACATAGGGCTCCCTATATCTCAATCGTATCAGTGAGGATAGATTAGATTAGGTTCATTAATTGGCAATCGGGATTTTGCTTCTGATTGACTAAGCGGATTCACTTCTTTGTTTTGGTATAGGTGTGGACTGGATTGATTTACCTTCTATCCCGGGCATTCGCGTGTACTGAGTTCGCAAAGCTTATTAGGCTTTTTTCATAGATGGGGCATTCGGCTGCTGTGTGGGACTTTAGAGCAGCAACTGAACTTACAAAGGACTGGAATGGAATTGATCAACTTGTACTTCGGACGCCACAAGGCGCTTCAGCACGGGTGAGAATTTGTTGATTGATTTTTTTGCATCGGTTTTAACATTTGATGGAGTCACGAGTTTACCATTTATCACATTATCGATGTCCATAACATGATAAGGAAAATTTGGTTCATAATTATATTCTAGTCTGTGATATTGGGATTACGTGTCTTTTCTCGCAATTAGGTAAGCTTACATGGAGCGCAGGTCACTTCATGGCGTAATGAGCACGGGGAAGAACTACTATTCACAAGCAGCAAGGTGTGTCTTTTAATTTTGATTTAAAAAGTTTTTTTCTTCTTCTGTTTTTGTATTTGTTTGCTGTCAGTGCTGATCTGGAAACTTTAAGTCACCTTTTCATGTCAGAAATTAGTTCGTCTACGCATATACTGCATCATAATGTTGTCAGAAAGCAGTCATACTTACTAGTTTCTCTTATTTGCAATTGATTGTAGATAGTTCCGAAGGCACCAAAAGCGATACGAGGAGGAATTCCTATATGTTTTCCACAGGTTGAATTAATTAGTATTTTGAATGTTTAGTTTCAAATTTCAATAAATTTTAACATGCATAACTCATATCTTAGACCTAAATTTTGTTTAATAGTTTGGAAACTGTGGATCACTGGAGCGACATGGATTCGCAAGAAACAGAATGTGGGCAATTGATGAGAATCCTCCTCCTTTGCCTCCAAATGATTCCCGTGGAAAATCTTTTGTTGACCTGCTACTCAAATCATCGGAAGAAGATGTGAGATGCTGGCCACACAGGTATTATTAACTTTGAACATAAAACCATAGCTCATGTATCTGATATTGCTTTTCCCTATGTATTGGAAGTAAATTTCAAACTGCAATAAGCTAACAGTTACCTAATTGTATCAGTTTTGAGTTGCGCCTTCGAGTGTCTCTTACGACAAGTGGAGACCTATCCCTGATATCTAGAGTCAGGAATATCAATGGCAAACCATTTAGTTTCTCATTCGCATACCACACCTACTTATTGGTTTCTGACATCAGGTATGGATAATGTTTTCTTCTTCCAGTTGTCTTTTTCTTATATTGCAAGTTGACTGTTGGATTATTTTTGCAATATCTATGAGTACTCACATTAACAATTCTGCACAGTGAGATCAGGATCGAAGGTCTTGAGACACTTGATTACCTAGACAACCTTTCCCATAAAGAACGATTTACAGAACAAGGAGATGCGATAACATTTGAATCCGAGGTAAATCTTGTGGTAACTATACTATTCATTCATAGCTTATGAACCAAGAGGTTTTCAAAACTGATCCTTTCTTCCGAACAGGTGGATCGTCTCTATCTGAGCTCTCCAAACATAATTGCAGTTCTAGATCACGAGAGGAAAAGGACATTCATTATAAGAAAGGAAGGCCTTCCTGATGTTGGTAAGCTATGCATCGACTTTCATCTATTGTTGTATGTAGTTTTATGGTAATTTCCTTGATATTGGTAACATCTTTGTATCTTCCGTGTGCAGCTGTGTGGAATCCGTGGGAGAAGAAATCGAAGTCGATGGTGGATTTTGGTGATGACGAGTACAAGCAGATGCTTTGTGTAGATGGTGCAGTAATAGAGAAACCTGTGAACTTGAAGCCTGGAGAGGAATGGACAGGGAGGATTCAACTGTCAGTTGTGGGATCGAGTTTTTGTAGCGATCGTCTCGGTTTCGACAGAGGTGGTATTTGAGAAGATGGAATTGTGCAAAATCTAAACAGTTTGTTACATTTAGCAATGATTATAGCATTAAGTTATCATAGTTTTTAGTAATAGTGCTTTTTAGGAGTATGAGGTTTTCTCGTGTTCTTTTCATGCTACAAAAAGGAAAAGCCTAGGTTTTTTGTGATAATGGCTGTTAAATTTCGGATATTTTAAAGATTTTGTGAAATTCCCGCAGTATATTAATAATCATATATTAGTACTCATAAATTCCAATATAAAATATAGATTGTATTTGACAAAACTTAGCAGATTATTTCCATCATGGAACAGTAGATGGATACCAACCTATGACTATCACGAGAAATATAAGAAAACAAGCTTAAATAACCTAATTGCTTAAACAAGCCGTTATGAAAAAAGCAACAACTTTTCTTAAAAACAGAGTAATTAATCTTTTTAATCCTTTAGAAAAAATTGAAAGATATCTTAAAAAATATTAAATCAAGATTTTGGATTTGATGAATCCAATCTTAGGCACAACATTGTTTAATCGGTTGAGGAAAGATTTGTCACTTATTGAGGGAAAGAGTTTCGTCGGATTCAGAGGAAGATTAGAAATATCCTTTTTGAAGGAAATAATTCACTTGCATCAGGTATAGGAATTGAACCAGATGACAAGGAAGAGAGGGGGAAGTGTCAGGCGGGGCCCTCCAATATTTTTTTTCTCCAATTTTGGAGGATTCAATTAAAAGTTTTACTGAAGATATGTTTTTCAAGCAGTTTTCGGTACTTGCTGTCAAAAACAAGCTCAGTAAAAACATTTTTACCAAAGGGAAAACTAAAAGCATTTACGATTTTGGCGGGTCTTTTTCAGGGAAGAAAGTTAGGCCCAAGAAAAAGGCTTTGAAGATTTATGATCCATGATCAAAAACCAACCATTGCGGTCTTGTTATTTCTTCTTCTTCAAATAAAATTATTGTTTCAGTCAAGCAGCAGAAGGGTCCTGAGTATGTGGTGTGGTGGTGTTAGATTCAACCCAAGTGGTCATGTGTTGTGATCCAATCTTAGATGCGGACGTGATGCGTTGTAACTCGCGTTTTTGTGACAATGTGGAGTCGAATGTGGGAGAGAAGTTATGGAGGGTGATTTCCAATTTAGTAGTGGTTAAAAATGGGGCTGCTAGAGATTTTAAACAAAGAATTCTTCCGATGGAAGTGACAGATAAAGGCGGAAGGAACAAATTGAAGGAGTAAATCAACTTGTTGAAATGATTATTGGAACATTCAACACTAGAGGGTATGGTAGTGTGGTAAAGAGGAAATATATTAGTAAAATCATCAGTCCGAGCAAAGTGGAGATTTTTCTTATCCAAGAATCTAAAGTCGTGATAGCGGATTTTGAGTTTGTTAAGAATATCTCTGCGTAGGGAGAATGTTGAGTGGTCTTATTCGGGTGAGATAGGTCATTCGGGTGGTTTGATAACAATTTGAAAAGTTGGTTGTGGCGAGGAGATTATTAGCTTTAAAGGTGAGGATTTTCTGGGAGTTAAGATGAGTAGGAGAGGCAAAAAAATTATGTGGTCAATATCTATTTTTCTTGCAACTTGGATTAGAAGAGAGATTTATGAAAATCTTTATTGGATTTCAAGTTTAGATTTTCTGATGGTGAATGGATATTGGCAGGAGATTTTAATGAGGTAGTGAATGGTCAGGAGAGGAATGGGAGATCCGTGGTGTGCAAGAAGAAGGAAATGAGGGAGATCTCAGATTTTATAACAGAGAGCCAATTGGTTGATGTTCCATGTAAAGGGAAAAATTTCACGTGGTTCATTGGTGACGAGAAGGCCATGAGCAGGTTGGATAGATTCCTCATTTCGGATGTTCTTGTGGATAATTGGGAGGTTGTGGGGCAACGTACAGGGGATAGAGATATTTTAGACCATTACCCGGTTTGGTTGGAGCACAATAATTCATATTGGAGGGGGGGGGGGGGGGGGGGGGGGGGGGGGCTTTAAAGTTAACAACACTTGGTTTGGAAAGATGTATTTAGAGGTAGAGAAAGAAGTGAAAAGTATTAATGAGGCAGATGAAGTGTTGGGCTCTTGTAGGGAAGATTTGGTGGAAGCGGGGGTGGTTAGTAGGAGTGAAGCTACAAGAAAAGTTTGGTTGAACTTGAGAATTCAGGAGAATTGTTTACTTAAAAAGTTGAGGTTGAAGTGGGCTTCTGATGGTGATTCAAATTCTAAATTTCTGCATAGTGTTATGAAGGAAAGAAGGCGTAGAAATTTCATCGATTCCTTTGTGTCCCGAGGTGGAAGAGTGGAGTCAGTTAGAGAAGTTAAAGAGGGGGTTCGTAATTACTTTGCCGAAAAGTTTGAGGAACCTATCTTTGTTAGACCTATTATGGAAGGAGTTGCTTTTAAATCCTTGTTGAGTTCAGAGAGGGAAGATTTAGAGGTTCCTTTTTCGGAATTGGAAGTGAAGGAAACGATTTGGGGTTGTGGAGGTTCTAAGAGTCTGGGGCTGGACGGTTATAATTTCCACTTTATTTAGAAAGATTGGTCTTTCATTAAAGGAGATTTTTTCGTTTCTTCAATGAATTCCATGCCATGGTAAGTTTGCTAAAGCTATTTCCTCGTCTTTTTTATGCTTATTCCGAAAAACAAGTTTCCGGAGGGCTTAGATGGATAGAGGCCAATTTGCTTGGTTTATTATTTTCATAAGGCTATTTCCAAACTTCTAGCGGATATATTGAAGAAACATGTTGGTTTCGCTGTGTCAAAGTGCCTTTGTTTCGGGTAGGAAATTGTTAGATGAAGTGTTAGCGGCCAATGTGGTAGTCAATTTTGCTTTGAAGGAAAAGAGGAATTACTTGCTTTTCAAAGTAGATTTTGAAAAATCTTACGACAAGGTGAAAATTATAATTATCTCAAGTTCGTTATGGGTAGAATGGGATTCAGGACAGGTGGTTAAAGTGAATGGAGACAACATTTTTTACTAGTTGTATGTCAGTTTTGGCGAATGGTAGTCCGACGAAGGAGTTTAAGGTGGGAAGAGGATTTAGGCAAGGTGATCCATTATCGCCTTTTTTGTTCGTTCTTGTGGCGGAAGGATTAATAAGGTTGGTTAGGAATGCAAAAGATTTCGGGATTTATTCTAGTTTTGGTTTTAAAGGGAATGTGGACGTGGATATTATCCCATTTGCGGACAGCACTTTGCTTGTGGGGGAGGGAGGATGGAATCTGTTGTAACCCAAAATTTTCCCTTCCATATTTCTCAATACATGTCAAGTGAGGTCCTCAAATTGCTCAAGGAAGTCCAAGAGTTGACCAGACAAACTCTCTCCTAAGGCAGTCTATCTTAGATTAGGGTTTCACTTTGCATCAAGATGCTTGAGTCCAAAGGATCCCAAATGCTCACCATTGTCCTAATATGTTCTCAAGATCATTCATGTCAACTTTCAAGCCTTGCAGAGGAAGTTTGCTCAGTCAATTGCTCAAAGGCCTGAAAATCAACTATGCTAGGTCAAAAGTCAACTATGGCCCACATACAGTCAAACTTCAAGATTTTTGGTCAACATCCTCATTTTGAAGTATCATTCATCATTTGTTCAAGGGTTTATCATGATTTATCAAGGATTGCTCACAATTCATCAAAACTCAAAGGTTGCTAAATTAGGGTTTTGCAGGAAAAGTCAACTCAACTTTGACCAAGCATAACTTTCTTATACTTTATCAAAAATGAACCATCCAAAGCTAATTTTGAAGAGGATGTAATTCCCTACAATTCATCTTCAGCTCCCAAGTTCAAAATATGCACTCACAAGAAGATATGAATTTGGACATTATAGGTCATTTTGAAAAGTCAACAAAAATACCTTTTGGATCAAAGCTTCATACATGAACATGGAAGATTCAATTGAGATGAGACAAAAAATGTTGCTTAGAGGACATCCTAAGCTTTCTAAAAAGTCCAATAACACCTCTCTAGGGTCAAAATTGAGAGAGTTATGCATTGGCCAAGTTGACCCTTTTTGCATAATTGCCAAATATCAAATGTGTCCAAAATTGCATTTTTTGTTAAATGGGCCCAACTTTTTATGCTTGCATTGAGTTTGTAATGTGATCCATAAACCATGAGCCCTTCCACTTTTCATTCTTTTATTTTTGTTATTTATTTTGATTTTATTTCATTTAAATCAAATAAAATCAATATAAAATAATGAAAATATCAAAAATCAATTAAACCTTGAGATTTTTTGCATGATTAGAATCATTATACAGCTGGAGACAAGATCAAATCGTGCAAGGATTCATATGGATAGAAAAATATTGAAAAGGCTTGTTTTGGAAAGATTTGGTGCAAGGAATAAATCATTGATCAATCTTCATAAATGGCGAAGATTTGATGCAAACTTTAACCCTAATGCACTCTATTATAGATAGTGAACAAAGGCAGACCAAAAAGAAGGAGGCTGGAGGCGTGCAAGGGCAGGGAAAAAGTTCAAAATTCTCAAATAAAAGTGCTGATCAAAACTTGCTCCAGAGGCCATTTCAAGCGTTTCAAAAGATCAATTCAGATTCTTGGATCATCCCTGAAGCCAACAAGATTGTTTGCAAGGCCTGGGACGCTCAGAATCACCCTGTAACGTTCATACGGTTTGCCTATTTTCTTGAAATCGAATATATTAATTCTGGCATATTTAGCATGATCGACTGGCATATTTATAATCCTTGAGATGTTTGCAACATGACACTACAATTCAATTGCATTTTTAACGCCTGTATGTGCAGATGCCATGGCTAGGGTTTTTTCGTTGTTTTTAAGGGTTTCCTATGCAGGATAAATTGGGCGTTGATAATGGTACCATGATGCTCGTGAGGTTGAAACGAGTTGATCGGTACCATTAGTTTTCATTTATCATGCGCGTACTGGATTTTTGAAATGGACAGGGGCTATACCTACGCTTGATGTCTGTAGGTAAAAGTCACAAAACCTAAAGCGACGGTGGGAGGAAGAAGACGGATG